AAAGTTCCCTTCCTCATTTGGGTAACCCTCCGGGGCTTCCTCAGCCTGGGCGACCTGAAGCTGCCTCTGGACTTCAACTCCCAGCATTCCTCAGCCAGGAAGTCGAAGTCCACTGGAGCTGAAAGTTGCCAAGGCCGTAAATCATTTAAAGCGAATTTTCCCTCGGCTTCCCTCACTGTTTCTGAAGCGCCTTCCTGTTTGAGGGCTGGTCTGAAATGGGATCGCTTTCCTGCTTGAGCAGGGGGCTGGACTAGAAGACCTCCAAGGTCCCTTCCATCACTGTTATTGGGAGTAGAAGAAGGAGACTTCCTGCTTGAGCAGGGGGCTGGACTAGAAGACCTCCAAGGTCCCTTCTAACTCTGTTATTCGAAGGAGGAGGAGGAGAAGACTTCCTGCTTGAGCATGGGGTTGGACTAGAAGACCTCCCAGATCCCTTCTAACTCTGTTCTTCTCTTACCCCACTCCACAGGTGCCTCTGCCTCCCCCCCAGTTCTGTGCAGAGGGCCCTTGCTCACCCAACCCATGACGGGCAACTCTTCCCAGCAGGAAACTTGTCCAACGACAGTGGGTGAAGGGTGGCCCTGCCCACCGTACACCTTTTGGGTGTCCCAATTCACCCTGTTTGTCCCAAGAACATGTGGCAGCAACGGAGGCGGCCTGCAGCATTTGGGGGTCTGGGAGAGGGGAGGGGAGGGGAGAGGAGGGAAAAAATGGAATAGAATGCAATGGAATAGAGAATAGAAAATCAAATCGAGAATCAAATAGAATATAGCAAAGAAAAGAAAATAATAGAATATAGAATATAGAAAAGAATATAGAAGAGAAAAATAGAAAATAATAGAAAATAGAATAGAATATACAAAAATAATATAGCATAGCAAAGCATAATAGACTAGAATAGAATAGAAACCGTAACAAAATAGAATAGAATAGAATAGAATAGAATAAGGAATAGAATAGAATAAGGAATAGAATAGAATATATGGAATGGAATGGAATATACAATAGAATGGAATAGAATATATGGAATGGAATAGAATAAGAATAGAATAACAGAGTTGGAAGGGACCTTGGAGGTCATCTAGTCCAACCCCCTGCTCAAGCAGGAGATCCCCTATGGAATAACTAGGTAGCAAGAGACTTTGGAGGTCATCTAGTCCAACCCCCTGCTCCAGCAGGAGACCCTTACAAAATGCCAGAGTTGGAAGGCAGCTTGGAGGTCATCTAGTCCAACCCCCTGCTTGAGCAGCAGACCCTTACAGAATCACAGACATGGAAGGGACCTTGGAGGTCATCTAGTCCAACCCCCTGCTTGAACAGGAGACCATTAGAGAATAACAGAGTTGAAAGGGACCTTGGAGGTCATCTAGTCCAACCCCCTGCTCGAGCAGAAGACCCTTGACCGTTTCAGACAATTGGTTGTCCAGTCTCTTCTTAAAAACCTCCAGGGTTGGAGCACCCATGACTTCTGGTGGCAAGCTGTTCCGCTGGTTGTCCTCACGGTTAGGAAGTTTGAAGACCCCTGCCTTGTAGAGGTGCTTCTCCTCCAGGGCTGGCTGGGGAATGCTGGGAGTTGAAGTCCACGAGTCCCACAGTTGCCGGGTTTGGACACGAAGAAGCGAGAGAGGGATTTGCTCCCCTCTGCTGTGTGATTGTGAAGTCATTTATGGAAAACATTTTCTGCTTCTCTTATTGCAAAGCACTTAAATGGTATCTCTAGATCTTTTAGATTTCAGAAAGAAGCATTAAAATACAATCATAAATCTCTTCTCCCCTAATTCTGTCATTTCTCTTTCTTTCTTCTCATTCTTTCCCCTATTCTTTGTCTTTTTTCTCTCATTTTTTCTCTGACAGTCTTTCCCTTTCTCTTTTCATTCTCTCCTCATTCTCACTTTCTTTCTCTCTTCTGTCTCTCATCTCTCATCTCATTCTTTCCCTTATTCTTTCTTTTTCTTTCAACCTCATTCTTTCTCACCCTCATTATTTCTTTCCCTTTCTCTTGTCATTCTCATTCCTTCTCATTCCCTCATTCTCTCCCTTTCTTTTTCTCACCTCTCTTCTAATTGTGTCATTCTCTCATTCTCTCTAATTTTTTCTCTCATTCTTTCTCCTTCTGTCATTCTTTCATTCTTTCTCCTTGTCATTCTTTCTCTCAATCTATTTCTCATCCTCTCCCTCTCTTCTCATTCTCTCCCCCTAATTCTGTCGTTCTTTGTTTCTTCTCTTTCCATTCTTTTTTTTTCTGTTATTCTTTCTTTTCATTCTTTCTCACTTTTCTTTCTCATTCTCTTCTAATTCTGTCACTCTCTCTGTTCTAATTATTTTTTTCTCATTCTTTCTTTCTGTCCTTCGCCTGTCATTCTTTCATTCCCTCTCTTCTAGAAAATTCTGTCATTCTTTCTTTCTCAATCTATTTCTCATCCTCTCTCTCTTCATTTTCTCCCCAATTCTGTCATTCTTCTTTCCGTTATTCTCTCCTCTCATTGTTATTTTTCCTTTTCATTCTCCTCATTCTCTTTTCTTTCTCATTCTCTTCTAATTCTTTCTTTCTCTCTATTCTAATTTTCTTTTTCTTTCATTTTCTCATTCTGTCCCTTTCTCCTTCTCTGTCATTCATTCTCTTTCATACCCTGTCTTCTTTCCCTCTCTTCTAGAAAATTGTGTCATTCTTTTTCTCTCAATCTATTTCTCATCCTCTCTCTCTCTTCTCATTCTCCCAATTATCATTCTTTCTCATTCTGTTGGCTCATTCTGTCTTCTACACACACAGAGACACAAACAGACACATACACACAAAGAGAGAGAGAGAGGCTCTATTTCTCCTCCAAAAGATTATTTTAGTTAAGAACTGCTTCAGTTCATTTTTCTCCCCATGGAATGTAAGTAAAACGTAATGTTTCTCCAATAAATGGTAAATGCCAAAAAAAAAAACCAAAAACGATTGTTTTAGGGAGGAAACCATGAGGGAAATCCTGAGGTAAACGACCGGGAGAGAAAAAAAAAGGCAGGAAAAGAAAGAGGACGCTCCCCCTCCCCCTCCACACCCAGAACGACCAATTCCAGTGCAGATCGCCTCAGGAAGGCGCGCCGGCCCTCTCCGGCCAATCAGTTGTACGTGGGCGGGGCCTGGCTCACCCTGACGACCTTTCCCTGAAGCAGCTGTTGAACTTAAGGAGCTTCAGAGTTGGGGGGCTTGGGGTGGCTGGGGAGGGGGCTGAGGGGGGTTGGGGCGTCTCCCTCCCCCGTGGGTCGCAGCGCCCCCACCCGCAGTGGGCCCCCCAACGGGCCACGTGACTCCCCCCTCCCTCTTCTGGACCCTATTCTGCAACTGGCAAGGCTGTGGGGCCTAGTGGTTGCCCGTTGGGTGATTTGTCTGGACCTTCTCGTTCTTTTTTTTTTTTTTTTTAATCTGTATGCCTATTTTGAGGGAAAGCCCCTCGGAGCCATTCTGGAAGGAAAGAAGGAAGGAAGACGAGGGAGAGAAGGGAAACGAGAAGGGAGGGAGAGAAGGACGACAGGGAGGGAAGGAGATGGATAAAGAAGGAAGGAAAGAAGGATGGATGGATGTTGGAAGGAAGGAAGGAAGACGAGAGGCAGAAAAGGAAGGAGCATGGATGGATGGGAAGAAGCAACAAAAGAAAGTTGGAGGAAGGAAGGAAGACAAGAATGGAATGAGAGAAGGAAGGAAGATGAGGGAGGCAGGGAAGGAAAGAGATGGATGGGGGAGGGAAGGAAGGAAGATAAGAGGGAGAGAAGGAAAACAAGGGAGGCAAAGAAGGAAGGAAGACGGAGGCAGAGAAGGAAAGAAAGGTGGGTGGGTGGGTGGGTGGAATCAAAGAAAGTTGGATGGAGGAAGGGAGGGAGGAAGATAAGAATGGAAGGAGAGGAGGAAGGAAAACAGAAGGAGAAAAGGAAAGAAGACAGAAGAAGGAAGCAGAAAAGGAAGTCCCACCATTCCATTGCCCAGGCCTAGAAGATCAGTGGTGACTTCCGTAACATGGTGCCATAGAATTGCAATGGGATAGATGGTATCTTTTGATATCTAAGGAAGCCAACCATCAAACTGCTTCTGGTGCCACTGCGGTGAGACAATCTGGGGTGCCTCCAAAGTTAATGAGACGTTCTCCAACTATATGTGTTATAGTTTGTTCCGGTGTGCCAGAGTTGCCTTGCAAGCTCTCAGCCATTCCCCACTTAAAGAGCTTTGCCTTAGCATGGCCTGTCCTGATTCTATCAGTCAATCAGAATAGAGCTGGAAGGAACCTTGGAGTCCAGCCCACTGCTCAAGCAGGAGACACGACTAGTTAATTGTCCTCACTCACTGTCAGGAAGTTTCTCCTTAATTCCAGGTTGTTTCTCTCCTTGATTTGTTTCCATCCATTGTTTCTTGTCCTGACTTCAGATGCTTTGGAGAATAAGTTGACCCCCTCCTCTTCTTTGTGGCAGCCCATCAAATACTGGAAGACTGCTGTCATGTTCCCCCCCCCCGCCCCAGTCCTTCTTTTCTCTAGACTGGCCATACCCAAATCCTGCAACTGTTCTTCATCTTTTAGTCTCCAGGCCTTTAATCAACTTAGTTGCTCTTCTCTGCACTTTTTCCAAAGTCTCAAAACCCTTTTTTATAATGTGATCAAAAGTAAATGCCCTATTCCAGGTGTGGCCTTACTAAGGCTTTAGAAAGCGGTACTAATCCTTCGTGTGATACGGATTCTATGCCTCCGTTTATACAACCATGATTCGTACTGTATTAGTTTTTTGGGCTGCTACGAGACGCAATCTCATACAATCTCTGAACTCTGTTCCCATCATAAACGCCATCATAAACCCTACGGTTTATGGGACGGAGGACGGAGAGATCTAGCAGAAAAGCAGCAAAGGAGAGCAGTAGGTCCCACCTGCCAACAGAGATTCCTGACTCCTCCAACCAGGTGAGGACCCCAGAAGCGCCGAGACCTCCGAGTTGGCATTTGCGGTGGCAGCGGAGTGGAGTCGGGCGAGGGCAGGGCTATTCCTGGGCATCTGGTGGAAAGCGGGTCAGTCTTGGACTGGGCTGCTCCCTGCTTTTACACGAGAGCAAGTGGTCCCTCCTTTCTGGGAAACGCTAAGGGGGTGGATAGGACACCCTCAGTGTTAGGAAACGCAGTTTCCAGCAGGACGAGGGATTTAGCAACAGACGTGACACAGATGCATCTGTGTTTTTGAGGGGGGAAAAATATTCCAGGAAATTTGGGGAGAGGGGTTGCTCCTTTTCGGGAAAGCTTCTGAATTCTGTCCAGACAGCCAAACAAGGGGAGAGCTGGAATGGGGAGGGGGAAGGAAGGAGGGGACACCTTCATCTAAAGCCCCCACGCCGTTGTGACTCTCAATCCCCCCTCCAAACTCCCCAGGAATTTTTCCAGCGAGATTCCAAGATCTTCCCAGAGGAATCAGACTTTGCTCTCTGTGCTGGGGGGGGGGGGAATGGGAGGGGCTTTGTGCCTGGAGAGAAACAACTTTGGTTCTGCTGGCTCCTCTGAAAACGTGCTGTGCTTGGCTGGGAGGAAGGAGGAAGTGGGCAGGCACGTCCCGTGTGTGACTTCCTTCTCAATCAGTCAACCAATCAGTCAGAATAGAGCTGGACAGGGCCTTGGAGGTCCAACCCTCTGCTCAACTCCAGGCAGAGTCTTCAGTTAATACAATGGGTGTGACCCTAATCCAGGAACTGGCTCCTCTCCCCTCCTTCAGCCATCCCAGAAATTGGAGTACCATCGGTGGGTGGGGTGAGACTTGAGGCCACACCTGCATCCCCTCCTAGAGTCATAAGTCGGTCTCGGCCTCCCCCAGACGGTTCCTTTCTCTCTTGCAGGGCAACAAGCTTGCAGCAACCAGCAAATGCCAAGCATGGCTCAGACAGACGATGCCATAGAGATTGCAGCCCTCGGCCGCCCCTTCCAGCTGGGGATGCTGTACGACTGCCGCAAGGATGCCCCCTCGTCCCAGGTAGGAGCCGGAGGAGAGGCTGATGGGTGGGCATCCCTGGCAGGAAACCTGCGAGGGAGGGAGGGAGGGAGGGAGACAGGCACTGCCATCAATTGCAGGCTTAGCCCAAGCACACTTAAGAGCTGGCATCCTGAACACAGGGCCTGCTACTACTAGCTAGCTGAGTAGGGTCTTCTGCCTGGAATGTGTATGCAGCAGTGCTGGCCCTGACTACCAAACGTGGGGTGGGTTTCCATACCAAACTCACTGAAACGCTTTGGGAAAGGACAAAATCTCTCTACTCAGTCAAAGGCCTGTGGGGGGGGGGTTTTGCAGTATTTTGCAAAACAGACCATTTCCCTGGTGACTGGTGGACAGAACAAAGGATGTTAACCTCAGGGAGAAAGGATGTCCCCTTGTCCAACCTCTCTGGGGCTTCTCTATCCAGTTTCAGATTTATCTCCCTGTCTTCTCCTGTTCCGTGCAGGCGTCACCCTTTGGGACTACAGCTCCCTTCAGAAGGACCTGACCACCAGGCCTCAGCCCAATACAGAAACTAAAATCATTGCATCTGACAATATTGATGACAAGGCCTCTGCCCTGGACATCTCAGGATCCCTCAAGGGCAGCTTCCTGGGGGGGCTGGTTGATGTGAGAGGATCAGCCAAGTATCTTTACAACACCAAGAAGTCCAAGCAACAGGCTAGAGTCACCGTCCAGTACAAAACCACCACCAGGTACGAACAGCTGACCATGAGCCACCTGGGAATCCAGAATATCTCCCACCCAGCAGTCTTTGAGCATGGCACGGCCACCCACGTGGTCACCGCCATCCTCTACGGAGCCCAGGCTTTCTTCGTGTTTGACCGAGATGATTCCTCAACAGAAATGGTAAAAAATATAGAAGGAAATCTCCACGTCACAATCAGGAAGATGATATCCGTTACAGGACAAGGAGATATGAAGCTAAACGAGGAGGAGAAAGAGAGTGCACTGAAGTTCAGTTGCACGTTCCATGGAGACTTTTCTCTGGAGAAAAATCCAGTGACCTTCCAAGATGCCATGACAATTTATGAGACTCTGCCAAAAATGTTAGGGAAAGATGGGGAGAAGGCTGTTCCTGTGTGGGTCTCGCTCTACCCACTGACCAAGCTGGACACCAGAGCAGCTAAAATGGTCCGCGAGATCAGCCTAGCGTTGATCTTTGATGTTGAAAGCATCTTGGAGGAACTCGACGAAATCCAGATGCAAAGTAACGATCTAGCCAAGGATCCCATTTGTGACACCTTCCCTGAGATCAAGAGGAAGATCCAGCAGTTTAAGAATCTGTTAAAGCAACACAGGCAGACTTTCCAGAAAGACCTGGCCAGAGTGTTGCCTTCCATCCGGGGTGGAGGGCAGGAGGAAGGGACCCTGGTGGATATCTTGACCTCTGTCAAGCAGTCTCCCTTCAACAGCCAAAGACTCCATGAATTTCTGGACACCAAGAAAAGAGAAATTAACTTTGTCAAATCTTTTCTGACTATTTTAAATAAGATACAAATTATCTCATCTCAGAACAAGTTGGAAGAAATAGTTCTCGATCCTCAGAATGGATACGTGGTCTCCTTTGTATTCACTTCTTTGCAGGAAGAGGAGCCGTTTCTGTTGAGCTTACGGGACAAGCTTCAGGAGCGATTCTTGCAAGAATCAGCTAAGTCCACAAGATCCACTCCTGCGGTGAAGAAAGACAAGGCCTGGTTTGAGGACCAGGAGAGGACCCACAATGCTCGCCAAGCGGCCAAATCCATGAAAGACTTTTTCACTGTCAACCAATCGAATGAGAAGGTCCGCTTTCTCGTGGCCTCACTCCCAGATGTGGAGACCCCAGGAGCTTCCATTTACCTTTATGAAGATGGAAACCTGGTCAGCAAGAACTTTGAGTTGCCCTCAAAACCTGTCCCTTTGCAGATTACTGAACTGAGACACAACAGCATTCAACTGAAGTTTCAGCCAGCTGAATATGGGAGGGCTGCCATCTCCAGCTATCTGGTAGAGTACAAGATTTCAGGGAAAGAAAACTGGAAGACCGTGAGGACAGAAGACGCCAGGGATATGTTCCTGCTGAAAGATCTGCCTCCAAACACAGAGTACCAGTTCCAGTATGCTGCTTGTTGCAAGCCGGGTCTTAGTAAATCCAGTGACCTGAGCCCACCCATAAAGACCTTTCCCACCAGCCCGCCTGAGAAATTAAGAACGGTCACTGCAGCATCTTCTGTCATCTCTGTGGCCTGGAGGAATCCCAGCATCGTTGCCTCAGGAGTTGTGGTCAAGGAGTACAAAGTGGAGTACAGAATGGTAGAGGCTGGAGTTGGGAAGGACCAGTGGACTGGAAAAAGGACTGGGAGAAAAACAGAGTTTTACCCCATCGAAGGTCTGAAGCCCCAGACGGCATATAGAATACGGGTGTCAGCCGTGTGTGACAATAGAGCTCTGGGTGTCCCCGGTGAGGAGGTGGAAGTCTCCACATCACTGGAGGAAGAAGATGCAGGCAACGTCGCCCGCCAGTTCTTTCAGGGAAGCTCCCCGGTGGAGGACACACATCCGTTAGTGTTCGCTCTTCCTCTGAAGAAAGTCCTCTCAGATGCCTCCAGCTCCTGTCTCATATACCAGCTTGGAAAGGAGAACCCAAACGTGCCGAACAAAGTGATCCTGATGATGGGAGCAACATGGTCTGGGAAAACCACACTGATCAACGGGATGATCAATTATATCCTGGGTGTCCAGTGGGGAGATAATTTCAGATTCAAACTGATTCACGAAACCACCCCAAGAAGCGAAGCTGGAAGCAGGACATCTGAGGTCACTGTCTATGTGGTGCACCATCAGGAGGGTTTCCGGATTCCCTATTCCCTCACAATCATTGACACTCCAGGATTTGGAGGCAGAAGAGATGCAGAGCAAGACAAACTGGTTGAGAAGCAGCTCCAAGAATTTTTCTCCGCCCCAGGGGGCATTGACCACGTTGATGCCATTTGCTTGGTGGCCCAGGCCTTCCTTGCCCATTCAGTTCATGCCCAGAAATGCGTCTTTGATTCCATGCTCTCCTTGTTGGGAAAAGACGTGAAGGATAACGTCCAGCTCCTGATCACCTTTGCTGATGGGGGAACCCCACCTGTCCTGGAGGCCCTCAAGGAGGCTGAGGTGCCTTGTGATCGGGACAAGTCGGGAACCCCTCTCCACTTCAGATTCAACCATTCAACCCTTTTTAGTCATGGAGAAAGTGGAGGAAGCCTCGTGCTGTTGCTGAAATATACTGGAAAATGAGCGCCGAGAGCATGAAGAATTTCTTTGACTCGCTAATGTTGCTTCAAGCCAAAAGGTTAACCTTGACTATGGAAGTCCTCAAGAAACGTCAGGAGCTGGAAGCTGCTCTTAGAAGACCTCCCCCTCCCAAGATTGAGCAAGTGCACCCAAATAGTTTCCAGATCGGTATTGATCCAGTCGCCATTGGGAAGCCTTCAGTCTCCAGGTACCAGGTGGAATATCGGATTGCAGGGCAGAATTGGAAGAGTCTCCATACTGAAGGCCCTAAAGATCAATTCACTTTGCAAGATGTGCACCTAAATCTTCAGTACCAATTCCGATGTGCAGCTGTGAATGAATTTGGGCTCGGTCAATGGAGCAAGGAGATCACTTGCATCTATCCTAGGGAGAGGTCTGCAGAGGTAACTTGACACCTTCTTTGGAGGAAGAGTGGGGGAGGAGGAGCACAAGGAGGCAGTAAAATAGGCTGATACCAGTTTTGGGTGCTCCATCGCTGGAGATTTTGAAGATTTTTGGCATTTGCAGCAAAGAAACTCCAGGGAAATTCTTTTACCAAGAGTTTAAGTTTCCTGATAGATCCATATAGGCCAGTGGTTCTCAACCTGTGGGTCGGGACCCCATTTGGGGTCGAACGACCATTTCACGGGGGTCGCCAAACAACACAGTCCGCCATTTTTCCCCCTTTTCCTTAGCTGTGCTACTGCCTTTTATTCTATTGGCTTTTGAAAGCCAATAGAATAGACTCTCTTGAATAGAGTCTAATTCTGCACCAGTTGAGTAATCCTCAACTTACGACCAGTTGAGTAGTCCTCGACCTACAGCCGGTTGGGGGTCGCGGCATTAAAAAGGTTGAGAACTACTGATATAGGCACAGTAGAAGCAAAGCTAGTTTTCAGGTTTTGCCATTAAAAATAGCACAGCAATAATCCCCCCTTTCCTCCCCGGGCCACCCATTGTCCGTTGTCCACCAATCCAGTTCAATCATTGTTTTGGGAAACACCTTGAGGTGCTGGAAACTTTCTCAGGCCACAACCCGTGCGCATACATTCCTCATTCCCCCCCCAGCCACCCATCAATTGCAATCATCCCCTTCCGCCCTCCCTAGTTTTTGTTGTCGGGTGGTGAGTAAGGTTTGCAAAGTGGGTCAGCCATGATGCACGAGGCCACGGGAGCCGAGCAGGAGTGACTGGTCTCTGACCTGATGGAGACAGTGCCGGTGGCCGAGGGCCGTTTTGGAGAATGGAGGGAGAGACTACAAGTGTGAGGTCCATCCTGTGGGATGTCTTAGAAGAGGAACAGGGCTGAGTGGGAAGACCACTCGGGGAACCTGCTGGAGGGGGGGCAGATCTGATCCAAGTCAGGAACTTTTTTAATCCCCCTCCAAATCTTGCTTGATTTCCGGGTGAGGTGAGTTCTTAGCAACCTCTGAGCAACGCAGCCTCTCCTTTGGCTGATTCTGTTTTGCTTTTCACGCAGAAATCTCAGGTTATGTGCTGTGCGGCTGGTCTGCATATGACTGTACACATCCAAGGTAAAGTCTTGGGTTCAGGTGGGGTGGAAGCTACTGTTCTGGGGGGGGGGGGGGACAGGCTGTGACGGTCGTACACTGCTGACCAGTCCCCTTCTTCTCTCTTCTCCCCTTTGGGTTGTAGGGTCTGAACAGAGGATCGTCCTTGTGGGCAGAAGCGGAAATGGGAGAAGTGCAACGGGAAACACAATTCTGGGAAGCAACGTCTTTAAAAGTTACATGTCACCTAGATCAATAACAAAAGCATGTCAAAAGGAGGACACACAGCTAAACGGCAGGAAGGTTGTGGTTGTTGATACGCCTGGCTTTTTCTATAGCAGTTGTCCAGTCAACGACGTTGTTGCAGAAGTGAGGAAGTGCGTGAAGTTTTGCTCCCCGGGTCCCCACGTCATTCTGCATGTGATACGTCCTAGTCGTTTCACTCAGGAGGAGGAGCAGGTGCCTCAGCTGATCAAAGAGATTTTTGGCCTTAAAGCCAAAAATTACATCATCCTTTTGTTCACGCGCAAAGAGGATCTGGAAGGTACATCTATCGAAAATGTCATAGCTGTATATGATACAAAACTGCAGCAATATGCTGCTGAATGTGGGAACCGGTTCCTGGCTTTCAACAACAAGGCCGAAGGGGCGGAACGAGAGGCTCAGGTGGCCGAACTGATGATCATGATTGATCGTCTGGTAGAAACGAACAAAGATACTCCTTATTACACGGAAGAGATGATGAGCTTCAACGAAAGACACAACTTTTTTTTTTTCCCCTTTCCAACAGAGGTCAGAAAGTCTCTTTAACTGAGCCTCAGCTCCCAAGGTGGCAACTCTGCCAAACGCAACAGCCCTTCTGTTCTGGGTTCTAATCCAGCCCTTGCCATGTGACCTCTGAAGAACCCAAGCCAGAGATTCGTGGCTGAGTTCCACTCAACCGATCCCTTCTCTTGAGAATCCGCTTCCTCCCCCTTGGATGACAGGACTTTCTTCAAGGGCACGGGAAGATCCTGCCCACCCGTCCCAGGATCAGTAGGTCCCACAGCCAAATTCTCTCCCATTCTGGACCCATGTCCCTTAGGGAGGACCAGGTCTTTGGGGCTTCCCACCTGTCTGTCCTTCGAGGTAGACCAGGCCGGGAAGCCAACAACACAAGAAATTTTAGAGCTCAACTTTACGGGGAGAGCAGGAGAATCTGGAGAGCACTCCTTCTGGCACCAAATAGCATCAAGCCAGGGCAGCCTTGAGCTTCTTTCTCGCCCCTTCCTGTTTACCTGGAGTGGATTCGTCTTTTCCTGACAGCTGCCACATATTTTCTGCATGGCTGAGTCTGTACTCCTGTACATCAGGGGTCCACAACCCGTGGGCTGTGGACTGATACCGATCTATGGCCCACCAGGAACTGGGCTGCGCAAGTGGTCAAAGTCCCATTCCTGCATGGGTGGGATCCACGCAGCATGTAAAACCAGGGCCCCCTGCTCCATGGAAAAACTGCCTTCCACGGAACTGGTCCCTGGTGCCCAAAAGGTTGGGGGGCGCTGCTCTACACCACCTTCCAGAGGCAACACCTGGACTCACTAGGACGGTCATGACTGTTTCAATCAGAGACCTTCTTGTTAAATTCCTCTTTCCTTACAAAAATGTCTTGTGTCTCTCTCCGTGTGTGTGTGAGTGTCAGCGGGACTAATGAACCTCAGCCTAACCAGCTCTGTCTGCAATGTGATCCAAAGGCAGAGGAGAACGGGGATGTTGTCCAATCGTCCTGGAGAGAGGGGGACATGGAATTCGTGTCAGATTATACTCGAGGGATGGAGCAGAACGCAGGGTATCCCCCGTAGCTTTTCACACTGGCTCCAGGAAGGGGGTCTGAGGAAATCAGGCTCCTGCTGGGTCCTTCCCATTTCTTAGTGTCTGTCAGCTCCACTCCAGATTCTTCTCTTTGCCGACTTGCTTCTGGTCTCCTGGTCAAGCAAGAGGAAGAAGGACACATGCCCAGCAGCCAAATTTGCAGCAGGACGTTCGGATTTGTCGACCTCTTCTCCAAAGCCCCTGAAGCAACGGACAAGAAGCAACGGATGGAAACTAACCAAAGAGAGAAGCAACCTGGAACTAAGGAGAAACTTCCTGACAGTGAGAACAATTAATCAGTGGAACCACCTGCCTCCAGAAGCTGTTAGATGGATAGATGGATGGAAGAATATATGGTGGAAGGGAGGGAGGAAGGAAGAAAGGTGTGGGGAGGGAAGGATGGAAGAAAGGAAGGAGACGGGAGGAAGTATGGGGGATGGATAGATGTAAGAAGGGAATGAGATATATGATGGGAGGAAGGAAGGAGAGGGAGGGATGGAGGGAGGGAGGGAGATAAATGGGGGAGGGGGGAGGGAAGAAGGGAGATATATGGGGAAGGAAGGAGGGATGGGGAGGGAGGGATGGGGCATGCTGGGAGTTGAAGTCTATCCATTTTCAAGTTCCCAAGGATGAGAAACAGCCAGAGGAAGAGAGAGAGATCAGAGCTTCTCAACATACTGGCTGGTTCATGCTTGGGAGTTGAAGTCCACCCATTTTTAAATGGCCAAGATTGAGAAATGGCTGTCTGGCAGGCTGGCTGGATTGCAAAGATGAATGGATGGATGAATGGAGGGAGAGAGAGAAAGAGATCAGAACTTCTCCACATGCTGGCTGGGGCATGCTGGGAGTTGAAATCCACCCATTTTCAAGTTCCCAAGGATGAGAAACAGCTAGCCTTTAGTATATGTAAATAAATACGTTTAATATTCAGACTTACTTTTGCCATCATCCAGAAAGAAAAAAAAAAACACAAAATAGTCAGGAGCACAGGAACACTTTGAGGTAAAATTGCACAGCAGCAGTCCAGGTGAAGTCGGAGAGACTAACACAAACTTGTTGTCTTTTACATGTGCATATATAAATAATATTTAATGTTCAAACTTACAAGAGTCTTTGTCATCCAGAAAGGAGAAAACACAAGACAGTAGGGAACACAGGAAGATCCTGAGGTAAATTAAACAGCAGTCAGAACACAGAGAAGAAAAAAGGTGGCGGGGGGAGGGAAACGCCCCCTTTATATTAAGGCAACCAATCAGTGTAGCACGCCTTTTGCATGAGCAGACAAGACAGTGGGGAACACAGGAAGATCCTGAGGTAAATTAAACAGCAGGCAGAACACAAAGAAGAAAAAAGGCTGGGGGGGGAGGGAAACGCCCCCTTTATAATTAAGGCAAACAATCAGAGCGCAGATCACCTCGTGCATGAACAGACAAGATAGTGGGAAGATTCTGAGGTAAATTAAACAGCAGTCAGAACACAGAGAAGAAAAAAGGGGGCGGGGGGGGAGAGAAACGCCCCCTTTATAATTAAGGCAACCAATCACAGTGTAGCGCGCCTTTTGCATGAGCAGACAAGACAGTGGGGAACACAGGAAGATCCTGAGGGAAATTAAACAGTAGGTAGAACACAAAGAAGAAAAAAGGCTGGGGGGGAGGGAAACGCCCCCTTTATAATTAAGGCAACCAATCAGAGCGCAGATCACCTCGTGCATGAACAGACAAGATAGTGGGAAGATTCTGAGGTAAATTAAACAGTAGGCAGGAGACAGAGAAGAAAAA